TCACCTATGACTCTCTCCTGACCCACCCTTTGCTTACTTGGGTAGGAGGATCCCAAGGGACTTGGAACCACCCTACTCCCTCCTACCCCCCCCTCCCCACACACACTCACACTTGATGCTTCCCATATTGTAATTGGGAATGTGGGTATTTGAGGCCTACTAGGCCTGGAGAACTTTTCCTTCGCTCCTTACCTTCTGCTCTCTGTGGGTTTCAGGTACTAAGCACAAGACAATTCTGGAGGCCCGAAGTGGGCTGGGCCCCATCAAAGCTTACCCTCGACTGGGGCCTACCACTCCTGGGGAACCAGAGGCCCCTGCCCAGGACCGAACCTTCCACTGTGAGATCTGCAATGTCAAGGTCAACTCGGAGGTCCAACTGAAACAGGTGGGTCCAAGGCCCTTCCCAAGAATTCTGGGGAGTTCCACCCTCTAAGAGGGAAGGGAGAATAGGGAATTTGAGTGAGGACTCTTGTACGGGGCTGCCCTTGGTGCTGCAGAAGGGGCGGGGCCAGGCACTTGGGCTGTGATTACCCGTCTCCTGGCCCTGCCTCCCGGTAGTTGCTCCTTTTCTGGGGGCTCACAGTCCCCTACCCACTCACCCCTGCAGCACATTTCCAGCCGCCGGCACCGAGATGGCGTGGCCGGGAAGCCCAACCCGCTACTGAGCCGTCACAAGAAGCCTAGGGGCGCCGCGGAGCTGGCGGTAAGGCCCTGGGGGCTGCAACATTCGGAACTGGGGAACCGGTGCAGGGAGAAGAAGGGGCACCCGGGGAAAGGTGGGGTTTACTGGGCCAAACAATGACTTCTCCCTCTCTCTTCCCGTCTCCTCCCCCACCCCTGCAGAGCACATTGACTTTCTCCAAGGAGCTGCCCAAGTCCCTGGCCGGCGGCCTGCTCCCCAGCCCCCTGGCGGTGGCTGCGGTAATGGCAGCGGCAGCAGGCTCCCCGCTGTCCCTGCGCCCAGCTCCAGCAGCTCCTCTTCTCCAGGGACCGCCCATCACCCACCCCTTGCTCCACCCGGCCCCCGGGCCCATCCGAACGGCGCATGGACCCATCCTGTTCTCCCCCTACTGACCGGAACCCTGAACCCCCTCCCGCTCAATGCCCCCATCTACAGCCGGGACCCAGGCTTCCTCCTGGCACTCCCTGAATGATCTCTCTCCTCCCCGCCCCCCCACC